TAGGCCCAGCTGTTGAGAAACACCTGCAGCCAGGCAGAGACCCCTCCCCTTGTGCTCAGGGACACGCCCTTTCCTCCAGAACCCAGGAACACTTTCACAGGCACTCCCGGGACCCCTCAGAGGGTCTGCATCCTCAGGCCTCTCCTGTTCTTGGGGCCACCCCCTCCCTGTACCTCTGCCTGCCCCACCTTGGCCTCCTTGCCTTCTCCCTGCACTGTGCTGTTCACCAGATCTTTCCCGCCCACCCACCTGCTGGCCACTGCTCAGCTCAGGCCAGGGAAGAGTGGGCCAGCTCTAGCGCTTGCCAAGACTGCTGGTCTGCGGCCACTAGCGCACACACGACGAGAATACAGAAATGTGCTTTTTTAAAACGAAGGATGGACTTGCTGCCTGCATTCTGATTTTTGTTCCACAACTCTCCTCTGCCCTTACCTCCCTGGTCCCTGCTAAGGCAGGGAGCCTCTCTCTGAGACTGCATGGGCAGAAAGAGGGGCTCCCTGGCCCAGCCCCTTCCTCACCTCCTAATCCTGCTGCTTCCTGTACTCTGTGTCTAGGGTCTTGAGCTGAGGGTTCTTTCCTTGTCTCCCAGTAAGCCCTGGGCGCAAGTGGTGCTGTTGTTGCCCTCTTATGGGAGGAAACAGGGAGGTGAAGAGCCAAGTTCAGCTTCATGCAGTCAGTTTGGGGTAAGCTAGGGTGGGACCACAGATCTTTGTGACTGCAGAGCCCTGGCTGCTGATGACCACACATTCCAGGCTTCAGTGGAGGCAGGAGAAAAAATTGTGACTGACATAAATTCTCTTCCCGTGCTCACTGGGCCTCTTTGCTGAGGCCTCAGTTTCTCTTTGTGAATAGGAGCTCAGAATTCAGTGTTCATAGGATTGCTGAGTGAGCAGCTCCAGAAAAAGCCCTGGATGGGCGGAGCTCTGAAGTGACTTTGGGAGGTGCCTCTCTCGGAGCGCCCGAGCAGCAGCCTGGGGTATGACTGCCCCAGCACAAAACACCTCAGCTCAAGCACAGAAGATGTCTTTCTGGGGCTTGGCAGTGTCCGTGCAGTCACCCTTCCTGTGGTCTGGGCCCCTGCCCTGGTGAGGGAGCTCTGATGTGCACCAAAACTTACGAGGAGCAGTAGAACAAGTGCGGCTTCTCCTGTTTCACAGGCAGGCGTCTTGGCCCCAGCTCCCTAGGACAAAGCCCAGGTCCATAGGGCCCATCAGGCCTCCCACTACAGAGCCCAAATGGTGGCTTCCACCAGTGCCAGTCCCGGGAGGAGGAGGGGTGTGTAGCAGGACTTCCCCAGAAGGCAGACAGGGCCGGGCTGAGCCAGCAGGGAATCATCTAGAGAAGGGATTAAATTGAAAACATAGATTTCTGGGGCCCACATCTAGGCATTTTGATTAGTAGGTCTGGATGGGGCCTTGGAATCCGTATTTTCAAGATATCCCCCAGGTAATTCTATAGCAGCCAGTTTGATGACCACTGATCTAAAGTCTTTACCTAGAACAGTCTTGTTTTTCTAATGGAGAATTATACCCATTTTCCCCTCCCTCCCTCTGTCTAATTAGCACGTATTAACTGAACTCCAGCTCTGGACCAAGCATGGGCTAATGCTGCTGAGTGAGACAAAGCCCAGCCCTGCCCTCAGATGCTCACAGCCTCCTCCTCTCCTGCTCTCTTCTCCGTGAAGTACTCAGAACCCTGCTAGATGTGGCCAATTAAATATTTTCTCTCCCAGGGCTCTGGAGAGCCATGGCCTCTGGTTGGGCGGGGCCCATCCCCCTGCCTATGCAAAGGGGCAGGTGTTTGACACAGGTTGTGCCCTACCACCCTGCCCCCGATACCCCTGACAAAAAAATCCACTTTCCTGTCTTATTTCAGTTCCTCTCTCTGTTACTCAAATACACCTCCTGCAAGTAACACCAAAGAGGCCCTATTGGTAACAGATACTAGGTCCCTGGTACTAGAGGCACAGAGAAGAAAGTAAAAATCCGGGCCCCCAGAAACTCCCCAGCAGGGAGAGAGAAACAGGATGTTGATGAGCAGCCACCATCCTGGGCCTGATGGAGATTGTGATATTTGGTCTTGTGCCTCATTCTTGACACAGAGCTCTTAAAACCTTTATAATTTCCTAAATGGTCAGGGCTGCCTAGAGCATCTTTTGTTCCCGTATTTGGTTGGCCTCCAGTTCCTGACACAGAGGTCCTAATTCCCTAGGAGTTTCCTAGGTGATAGTGTATCTTGTTCTGACGGAACAAGGAGATGGGAGGTGGGCTCTTAGATGGGGCCTGGTCACCAAAAAGACTAAGCCATGATTAGAAGCTTCGAGTGTTCAGCCCCACACCCCATTCTCAGGGAGATGGGAGGGCTGGGAGTGAAGTTCAGTTGACCATGCCTACATGATGAAATCTCGATAAGGATCTCAAAAGTATGGCATCTGGAGAAGTGGGTCGGCGAGCACACTCATCCGCAGGAAGCAGGAGGGTGGCACATCCCAGCTCCAGAGGGACAAAGACTCCTGTGCTCAGGATACTTCCAGGCCTTGACCTAGGTACCACTTTATCTGGCTGTTCATCTAAATCTTTAATCACATCCTTTATTGTATAATAAACCAGCAAATATGTAGGCAGATGTTTTCTTGAGTTCTGTTAGTTATCATGGCAAGTTCTCAAACTTGAGGAAGGAACTTCCAATCGCTAGCCATGTTAGACAGAAATGTGGGTAACTGGGGGAGCCACTATTTGAAGTTGGTGTGTGAAGTAAGGGGACAGTCTTTCAGGGTGGAGCCCTTGACCTGTGGGTCTGCACTCAGAGTAGGTGGTATTGCAATTGAGTGGTAGGATACAAAACTGATGTCCAGAGAGCAGAATTGCTTGGTTTGAAAGAAGCTGCCCAGGTTTGGTGGCCCAGATGCATTATGGATGATTAAAGGAAAATGAGTTTTTCTTATACAGAGGTCTCTGGGAGCATAGAGAAGGTGCCATGTTGCAGGGGCAGCATCTTGGGAGGTGACTGGGGTCTCGTTGCTTTCCTCCTGGTGGTGAACAGGTAAAGCTGCACGTCCCAGGGAGGACCATTGCTGTGGGAGGCCCTGCCTCAGTTTTCATATGAATTCTGGCCTCCAGTTTTCCTGTGAGGTTATATTTCATGGTCTCTATCCCTCATCTCCTCCATCCTTTTATACAGGTTCCCAGCTGCTCACTTCCTGTCCCCCGGGGGGGTAGAGTCAGTGACAACACGCCCCAGGTTATATATACAACAGGCACCTGTGCCAGCCTGCAGCTTCTTTGGTGCCTGGCAGTGACCTCTCTGAGTCTGAGCTCAGAGTCTATGTTGTGATATGGCCACGTCATGAACCTGGGTAGGGTGTGGCACACAGGAGGTGAGTTTGAGGCTCATTGGTGTGGAAGTCAAGAACACAGGAGTGCAAATCTCTGAGTCCTAGATGCAGTTGTGCCTGTAACTGGCTGTGAAACCTTGAGCTATCTACACTGAGCTACAATGGAGAGCCTTGAACCAACTCCAGACATAAGCAATCAGAACTGAGCTTCAGCAAGAAGTCCAGATGATTCCCATGAACATTACTATTTGGGAAGCCTACCCAGGTGCCTTTCTTCTTGCTGTAAGCACTACTGGTTGGGGTAGTAATGCTGATGACTATGATGTTGGTTCTCTTAGGAGTTACCTCTGTCATACAAAGAGTTGGACCAGACAGCCTTGGTGGAACGAAATCAAAATGACAATGCAGCCCCAGAGCGAGTCTCAGACTGGCTTTGTTTGGCTTCATGCTCAAAGTCTTTTGGAATAAGGCACCAGTATTTAAAAATAGGGAAATTTCTCATCAACACTTAGACTTCTAGCTTTGCTTGAAAATTTGAATGAGTGGGAATAAGCCCCATTCCACCTGATAACAGTGTTTCCCCTGCTGAACTCAGACTCACAGGCTCACCCCGAGTTTTGTAGTCACAAGTACTGTGAGGATAAGTGGCCCAGGAGGGTCTTAAAATACCCAAAAAGATGCTCGGGCTCTTAATACTACAATTAACAGCTAAATCTACACCAAGTAGTCATTTTCTACCTCCAACTAACAAATATAAAAGTTTGATAACGCACTGTCAACAAAGGGCAGAGGAAAAAGGTCCTTTCTCACACTAGTGGGAAAGTAAGTTGTTATAGCCACTAAGATGCAAAATCTTATCCATCAAAATTGCCAAATAACATCTACTCCTTGACCAAAATCCCCAGTGCTAGGAATTTATCCTGTAGACCTGTGCAGGCATGTGAGATGTAAGTCCAGTGCACACATGCAAGTTTAGTCATTGAAGCACTGTTTGTAATAGCTACAGACTGGAACTAACCTGATTGCCCTTCAATAGGGGACTGGCTAGGTGGAGCATGGGCCAGCCACACAGTTGTATATTATGTAATAAAGTGTTTTACGTTATGATACGACAAAGGACTTCTGAAAATATATTATTAACTGAAAAAAGCAGGTAGAGAACAGCGTGCAAAGATCAGTGTCATTTGCATGGGGGATACAGTATCTGGGCAGAGATACAAGGACTGGACAGCAGTGGCCTTCTCTGGGGAGGGGACCGAGGAGGCCAGGGTACAGGGGTAGGAGGGGGTCTTTCAGCTGTCTACACCTTTGAGTCTTTTGAACTTTGAGCCATGTTGATGCATTATCTACTCAGAGTTAAAAAGCCAAAGCTTTTTGGAGACCAAGAGTCTGGTGTTCTGACATTACAGAGCTCCAATGCTTTACAATTTAGTAAGCCTAACTTTTGACAAGTCAGAAGTTCATCTTGCCTGAGGCTAAGCTTGTAGATCTGTCTCTGAGTCTCTCCAGCCCCATTGTCCTGAGTTGGCCACAGCAGACCCTGTGAGCCTGGGCAACTCCAAAGGAGGGTTCCTGCCTTATCCTAGCAAAGCTGCATGAACGCTGGCATCTCCAAGGATGCAGCCTTGGGGTCTCCCTTATTTCATCACCTTCTCTGTCCTCCCAGGGGGGCCTTCTCGGTCGTGCGCAGGTGTGTGAAGGTGCTGGCTGGCCAGGAGTATGCTGCCAAGATCATCAACACCAAGAAGCTCTCAGCCAGAGGTAGGTACCTGGCCCGGGTGTGCCCACAGCCAGGTGCTCCTTCCCTTCTGCCTCTGGGTTTAAAACCAGGACCTGAGTTCGTGCCCCTGGGTGATGCTGATGGTGGGTTAGTGGCCCTTCTTCCTGAGGGTGTCCTGAGAAGAGACCTGTCGGGGAATCTGGAGTGGAGGCCACAGCCTCTCAAAGACTGGGCAAACTCTCTGCTTTCCACCATGTGGGGCCAAGGTGCCAGGTGGGACTTCTTTTCCCCGCCCTTCTGCCATGCATGCTCGGGTCTCAGCTGCAGACTCTGCACTTTCCACGCCCTGCGTGAATGCCTGGCCTGGCTCCTGTCATGCCTGGCCCTCATGCAACCTTCGGGTCTCAGCTCAGTGTCTCTGACCCCCTGATCCGAGGAGGTCTTCCATCTTCTCTGTTTCCTTCCTGGCTTGCCCTTGCCCTTGCCATATATGATTTGCTGGTTGGCTCCTTTATTTAACATTTGTGTCCCTCTCGACTAAGTTGAAGCAAGAGGGCGGGTTCCATCTGTGGCTCTGTTCTCAGCGTGTGGGACAGAGCCCTCACCAGGTGCTCAGAGAGTGTTCCGTGAACTCTCGGGGTGCTCCTCTTTGACAACAGCAGAGCCATCTCCAGTCCCTAAACAGGCAGTCTGGAGCATGACTTGGGTTTTGGAAACAATACCCAGTGAAGTCTAATTTGCAGAGACGGTGGTCCTAGGACCTCATGAGTGGTTCCCGACCCACAGTGTCAGCGTCTCTGGGAGAATGTTAAAAATGCAGAGGACTGGGCCCCTCCCCAGACCTAAAAAAGCAAGTCTGCATTTTATCAAGATGCTGACTCGAGTCAAATGGGCGTTAAAGTTTGGGAAGGCTGCTCGTAGGACCTCTTGCCACCGGCGCGTGAAGGACGGTAATGGTGCTGAGCACAGCAGTGTGTTATCTTCAAAGATGCCATTGAGACAGTGTATCAGCTGCCTTTGGGGCAGTGAGGTGAGGGAGAACTCTTCTGGGTGAAGGGGAGACATCGTGTGTGGGGCAGGCATGGTGTTCAGGTGTTCAACCGCGGTGGGCCCTGCAGGTGTGGGGGCTCAGGGGCTCCGGCATGCACTGGTACAGGATGTGCCTGCTGGTCCCCACAGGCCTCTCAGCAAGTCCCGTGGTGGACTGTGCTCTGCTGCCTTTCACCTCTTGGGCTCAGTGTGGCTGGGAGCACAGCATTTCCTCCTGGTGTCCTGGAGGGAGAAGAGGCTGTGACGGGGGAGGCTGGGGAAGTGGCACATCCAGTGTGAAAAGGCCAGACCTGTGGAAGGTCCAGAGCCACAGCCAGCAGCGCGAGCCACGCTGGGGAGGGAGACACTGCCTCCTGTCCACAGGCTGGGATTGGCCTTGTCACTGCTGTGTGACTAGTGGCGATCTGGTGCTAGTCTGTACTTTGGGTCTCTAGTGATCATGGGACATGTCCCAGTCCCGAAGATACAGCAGGACCAGTCATGACTTGGCGGATAATAAGTTGAGGGTGACCAAGAGCAAGGTCAGGAGTAGAAATTTCCCTGAATGTGCAAGATCTTGGGCCAGTTCACCACCGTTTCAGGGGTACATCTACAAACGCATGCAAGCACATTCACACACATGTGCATGCACACACACACACACACACACACACACGCACAACTGGGCAGGAGACAGGTGCGTAGCAGACTGGAAAGGCCATTGCTTCTGTTTGGGAGGGAGACTCAGCGTTCCGGGGACCTCGTGGTTCTCTGGGAGAAGGTGCCCAGGCCTGCACGAGTGTGTGGGGTGGTGGTGGGAAGGCTATTGGAACATTCCCGAAGAAGCCTGCCAACTGCTAGCAGCACTTTTCCCCAGCAGGCGAGGAGGAGGGGAGCCTCTTTCAGCAGGTCTCTTTGTTTGCCACTCATGGAGCCTCCAGGGGGGCTTAATGCAGACTATTTGGCAACATGCTCTAAACTTCTCCTGATGGCACTCTTGGGTGACTTCCAGCAGCTCCCAGCAGGGGCTGTGCCCACCCAGGTCATCTGTCCACCCCTCCCAGGGAGCTGTAGCTTCTCTGTTGCCACCCTGCCCGTCCTCTTTTAGAAAGTGATTCTCAAACCCAGGAGATACTTTTATGTGCATTTTAAAATTAGTTTTTTTTAAATACTCATCTTTCAAAGAAACCATCAAAAAGTGGAATGAAAAGTCAAAAATTTCGCTTATTCCAATCTCTGCCAAATCCTCACAGGGGTCTTTTAAAAAAATGCAGCTGCCTGTGTCGCATGCCTGAGGGTTGGATTGCATCTGGGAGGCTCCAGCGCTGTCACAATCGCAAGACTGATCCCCACCAGGTCCCATGCCCTGGGTCTCTCCAGTTGGTGTGGCTGGAGCACTGGGCACAGGAGGTGGTTGCGACTGACCGGCCTAGGAACTGCAACCCCCTCAGACTCCCGGCTTCACCCACATGCAGGGGGACCCCTTCCCAGGCTCCCAAGCTGCCAGTCTCCAGGTGCTGGGTGGGAAGCGTGGCAGGGTTCATCCGGGCTGCACCTGAGCCCCTCCAGGTCCCTGCCGGGAAGGCCTCTGCCCATCCTCCTCCACACACAATGCCTTGCCTGGCATCGTGGTCCTCAGGGTTCTTTCTCCAACCTCCCGAGACCAGGAGCCCCTTTGATCCTGCGGATGAAGGGGACATTTCCTGTTCCCAGACGTGAGGACTCTTCCCGCCCCTGGCTCCTGAGCCTCCTGCCAGGAACCTGTGCCTGCTGCCTGCCGGAGCCCATGTCATCTGAAGCCAGAGTCTGCCAGTCTTCGATGGCAGTGCCTCCCAGCCCCAGCCTGCACTGCCCTGCTGGGACCTCACCCCCAAGAGCCCACCAGCTAACGTCCACACCCTGAGGGTGACCAGACCACAAGAAGGGTAAAAGCTCCCAAGACATCATCAGGGGCCCTGGAGACTGCACTCCCAGGTGTCCAGCAGGAACGGGGGGTGGGAATTTCCCTGAGGCCGCTCTCCATCCTGGGACTTGCTGAGCTGGAGGGACTGAGTCATCAACTAACGAATTATTAGAATAGAAGGCATAGGGTGCAGTCATTGTAGACATGGGTTGAAATCCCACACTGCCATTTGTTTGTGTTGAGCTTTAGATGAGCTGCTTAGGGCTTCTGTGCTAGGTCCTGAGAGTGTGGCAATGACTCACAGGCAAGGTCTCGTTCTCAACATGCATATTTTCTAAGAAATGAAACCACAAAGAGCATTAGACACATAAATAAACTGGGTAATTTCAAGTAGTGGTGAGTATGGTAAAGAAAACAGAACAAGGTAGTAGAGAAGTGATGGAGAGACTCTCTTAGAAAAGTAGCCAGGGAAGCTCTCCAACAGGAAACATTGTGCTGAGACCTGCCCGATGAGGCAGCAGCCAGGCACAGGCACAGTATGTGCGAAGGCCCTGAGGTGGGGAGAAGCAGGATATCCCTAAGGCCAGAAAGGAGGCTGCAGTCTCTGGAGTTTCATGGCTGAGATGAGGGAGGATGCAGCAAGGTCTTGGGGATGAGATTGGATTTATAGTAAGTACATCAGAAAGCTCTTGGAGAGTTCAGTGCCAGGGAGTAACAAGATTTAATTTATGTTTTAAAAAGAGCTCCTTGACTGCCACAGACAATTGGCTGGGGTGGGGAGTGGGGGAAGATTCTGGGACTGGAGGGGTTCATAGTTCAGAATTTGATTTTGATAAAGGGACTACCCTTTTATCCCTGGCCTATCTACATTAAACAGCAAGACCTCTACGTCAACATGGTCCCTATATGTCTTGACATTCTCTGTACATTAGAAAATGAAAACAATGTAACAGGATTATAAAAATATCATATAATATATATGTGCTTACATCCAACAAATAAATGTTTTTAACAACAGTTACAATGCAGGGTAACTGTACTCTGCACAAGATGATTATAGGACTTGTATTTCCCAGCATTTCTGGTAGGGAGGTCTGGTCACCAGGCACTGGTTTAAAGTTGTGTGACCAAGAGTTTTTTTCTTTTGGTTCCCTTTCGTGGAATTTTGCTCCTGAGTAACCTGACATGGAGAAAACATCAAAATTCTAGATTTGGAGCCCCACCCTCTGAATGTGTAGATTGGGCTGAAGGCCCCCATCCCCTCTGATAGGCCTGGCCTTGACCTAGCTGGTTTCAGGGCACAGGGTGCATATGGAGGAGAGGGTCCAGTCTTGCTGAGCCCGCTGAGGGCCCCGAGGCACCTCTAGGAGAGGATATCCTCCTTTAACCGGGACCCAGGATCCCCTGCCCTGGAGTCTTGGAGGGAGGGAGCCAGGAGGGTACCCCTGCTTGGCCCCGCTCTTCCCTGCCTGCAGCTGGCCTACCACTGGGGCGCTGAGTCTGTGGAAATAGAACTGGATTTAATTGCTTTGCTTATGGCAAAGCCACATTTCAGCATCGATCCCAACTTCTGCGGCCCCTGGAGGACAATCTAGTCTACTAGTTTGTTCTAGTAGGAGGGGCAGGGGAAAGGAGAGCTGATTGCTCTGGGACAAGGGCTGAGACTTTCTCCATCTGTATCACCTCCCGACTGTCTGTAGTCTTCCAGTGACCAAAGTTCTAGTCCTGGCTCAGCCTCAGAGCATCTGTGCGAGTTCCCATCTGTGGGCCCCGGTCTCCCCGAAGGGAGACGAGGCGGGTGGAGGTGGTTACCAGTCTGGCCGTGGAGAACAGATAGCACAGGGTTGTGGCTGCCTCTGGAGCCTGGCTGCTGGGAGAAAGCCGGCTCCACGCTCGGCTCGCGTGGCTGTGACTTGGGCCGGGGGCCTGCCTCTCTGCGTCTGTCAAACCTCTCCTCGGCTGGGGTATGGGAAAGGAGAGCTGATTGCTCTGGGACAAGGGCTGAGACTTTCTCCATCTGTATCACCTCCCGACTGTCTGTAGTCTTCCAGTGACCAAAGTTCTAGTCCTGGCTCAGCCTCAGAGCATCTGTGCGAGTTCCCATCTGTGGGCCCCGGTCTCCCCGAAGGGAGACGAGGCGGGTGGAGGTGGTTACCAGTCTGGCCGTGGAGAACAGATAGCACAGGGTTGTGGCTGCCTCTGGAGCCTGGCTGCTGGGAGAAAGCCGGCTCCACGCTCGGCTCGCGTGGCTGTGACTTGGGCCGGGTGCCTGCCTCTCTGCGTCTGTCAAACCTCTCCTGAAGGCTGCGGTAAGGACTGGAAGGCCTCCAAAGCACCCTGCCTGGGGCCTGACACGCAGTCAGTATGGGCCAGGCATCCCTCATCTGAAATCCAAAATGCTCCCAAGCTCCTGACTTTGCGAGTTTTGAGGGAAGCTCTGTTTCATGCACAAAACTATTAACAATGTTGGATAAAATTACCTTCAGGCTATGAGTATAAATTGTATATGAAACACAAGTGAATTGTGTGGTTGAACTGGAATCATATCACTAAGATATCTCATTATATCTGTGCAAATATTCAAACTCTGAAAAACTCTGAAACACACTTCTGGTCCCAAGCTTTTCAGAGAAAGGATAATCAAAGGATGCTGTACTCTACACTTGCTGGTAGTTTCCCTTTAACTGTTTTGTTTTTAAAATTAAGGCATTAGCTACTGAACTGTGAGAAAAGCCCAGCAAAGGGAGCTGGGAAATGCGTCTTCAATTCCAAGCCTGCCACCACGGAGCCCTTGTGAAATGGGGAGAGCAGGGCTCGCAGCTCAGAGGTGTTGGGGCACCGAGTGTGTTGTGGGTTGTGGGTCTGATCATTCCCAGCAGCCCAAGAGTTGGAGACCACGGCACAGATGGTGAAGGAGGCCACTCTCCAGGGTGGTGGGGAGATCCAGAGGTCTTGTCTGAGGTCCTGGAAGCAGAGGTGACCAAGCTGGGCCACCCCTTAGGCCGTCTCAAGTGCGTTCCACCCTACAGGCTCCCTGGGGGCCGCGCCGGTCCCAGAGTTCTCTGAAAGGGACGTAGCCAGCCCCTGGAGAGGACAGCACTCCCTTGGGAAGTCCATTCATTCAGTCATCTCTTCTTTCATCCAGCTGTTTCTTGAGTACCTACTGTCTGCCAGGCAGCTGGGAAGGTGCCAGCAGTTCTGCAGGGACCTTGCCCTCGAGGATGTGGACTTCCACGAGCCAGAGGAGCCCAGGAGCACAGAGGAGGCCCGCCGGGCTGCCGAGGGGTGGGAATGAGTCACAGCTGGGAGGTCGAGCTGTGTTCCACACTGAGACCGAGGGCCCCAGTGTGCGTGTGGATCAGTGAAACTTGTGGCTGGAGTGGAGGCCTGGAGGAGGCACAGCAGGGCCCAGAGAGCAGGGTCCCAGCGGGGGCCTCGTCACATGGGAAGAGCCCGGAGAAGCGCCTGGAAACTGAGGCTGAAGGAGGGGAGGGCTCACTTGAGCCTTTGAAGCCTGGGCCTCCCTGCTTCCCCGCGTCCTGCCGCCTGCCCTGAGCCCAGAGGCCTTGGCCTTCAGCCTCCCTGGGAGGTAGAGGCCGTGAGGAGGTCCAGGGAGGCTGTCGGTGGCTCCTCGCCTGGGTCTCTCCTGAGTGCTTGTGTTTCAGATCATCAGAAGCTGGAGCGTGAGGCCCGCATCTGCCGCCTGCTGAAGCACCCCAACATCGGTGAGGCTGGGGCTCAGAGCGTGTCAGGGTACCCTGCTGGTCCTGGTGTGGGTTGTGGGTAGGGGGCTCTCCTCTTTGAGGTGGGAGGCAGTAGCGAGGAGAAGGGAGAGTCTCCCGTGGGTTCCACATTCCTCAGAGACCAGCCTGTTTCGGGGGAAGGTGAATGGAGGCCCTTCTTCCCATCCCACACTGCCAGCTGCCTCCTTCAGAAAAGCTGTTTCAGGAGAACGCCCGGAGCTCACAGAGAGATGAAAATAGGCCAGAGGGAAAGCTTGGCCTTGATCTGTGTGGCCCACTCCAGACCTGCTCTATGTCGAGCCAGCCACTATCAGGACGCAGCTCAGGCCCTGCCCAGGCTTAGGCCTACCGTAGGCTGTGTGGGACCGCAGCCCAGGGTGGGAGGGGACAGAGCCAGGATGGCAGGACCCTGGGGGCCCTCAGGAAGCACCCTTCACTGCTGGACCCTCCGAGTCATCCTGAGTTGTGAGGGGTGGATTCCGTTTGTAGTTCTGCAGGGAATGACTGTGTGACCTTGGGCAGGAGCACTCCCTTCTGAGCCAGTTTCCCCCACCTTCACTTGGATGGGGCTGTCTGGACCAGTGCTTGTCTTTTTCTAATCAACCGGGTATTTTGCAGGAAGGCAGCTTCTGATCCCAGTGGTCTGGGGTGGAGCCCGAGGTTGTGCAGTTGTCACAGCTTCTGTCTCATAGAGCAGGGTCTGTCTCCATGCTGTCTGAAGACGGTGGCCAACTCTGGCAGCTGCCCCTCCTTCTCCCAGGGAGAGGAGGATCTCCATGCCAGGGGGCCCAAGGGTTAATCCTCCTGCAGGAGAAGCCGCTCTGCTGCTATTTATACCTAGAAGGCCCCTGCCCCCCCTGCTCACAGCAGCCTGAGGAGCAGGAGTGAGGAGAGGGGGCCAGCTGGAGCAGAGAGGAGGCAGCGAGGCTCTGGCTACAGGAGGACCTGGCCGGACCCTGCCTGGCCTGCTGTCTTCCTTTCTGGCCAGCAGGGCTTCCCCACCCACCTGTGTGAGGGAGGGTCGGGGTGATCTCTGCCTGGGAACCTCCTGGTTCTTACTAAGGCTATCAGCTCTGGAGGAAGGAGGCACAGGGCCTGCGTGCGTGCGTGCGTGTGTGTGTGTGTGTGTGTGTTTCTCTCTGTGTGTGCATGTGCTTGTGCTCATGTGTGTTGCTGCACAGTCACAGCTGTCTCAGGTCAGTACTGCTTCTTCTCCTTGTGTTTCCCTCTCCCTCCTGTTCTCAGTTGTAATGAGAGCAGTAAGTTATGGGCTCTGGGGCTGACAGAATACAGCTCAAATCTTGGGTTTGTTGCTTAAATGCTGTGTGACCCTGGACACGCTGCTTAACCTCTCTGAAGCTCAATTTTATCTGGAGAATGGAAATTATATCTGCCTCACAGGATGGGGTGATTAGGTAGAGCACAGCATAAGGACAGGTGTCGGGCCAGTGCTTTACTGTCAAAGCTGTCCCTTTCCCTGTTCCGTACCTTCCCTTGGACCCTGTAAAATCGTCCCTACCCTGAGCCTTCAAGATTGTTGGTCATGGGTGGAGACCAAGGTAACATGCTGCTGAGAGAATGGCTTTTGTGCTCAGACACACTGGGTGTCAATCTCAGCCCCGGTGTCTGAGGGTGGGCAGACCAGGAGCCTCTCTGAACCTCAGTGCTCTCCTCCGTGACACCGGAGTTGAAGCTCTGTCTTTTCTGATGATTCTGATTGCAGCGTGGCTTCTCAGGGCTTCTCACACTCAAGGCAGGGAAATTAAGACCACCTCCAGCCCAAGTGGTCAGGAAGGGCCTGCCCCCCCCCCTCACGCCCTGAGTCCACGTGGCAGAAGACAGGGAGAAAAACTGTCTTTTTGATGTCCCTACTTTGACACAGTAACACTACAAGTTTATTGCAATTGGTGAGGAGCCCGGCTTCATGAGGGGTCTTCCTGTAAACTTCCCCTGGAGGACTAACCTCTGATGATGCTGTTTCCATGTGATCTGCAAGCCTTGGGCCGTCTCGTATACACCTATGCGCTCAGCCCAACTCAGATTCCTTAGAAGCAGAGCCAGAGACAGGCATCGGAGAGCTGTGAGCAGCTGTCCTGGTGGCTGGGGAGGGACCTCCGCAGGGCCCTGACGGAGGATTACTGGGCCCTGTGAACCAAAAGTGCAGTTTTACAAGTATGTATGTTTAAGACGCTAAGCCTTATTTGAGAGGCACTAAAAATTAAAATAGATGAACAGACAGAGGAATGGGTAGAAATGCAGTAAGGCAGTCATAGAACACTCACGATAGAGTTGGAGTAACAGTGTATGGCTGCTCTTCATAGGTTTCTAAGAAAGTGTTGATAAATACAGTGGGATTGTGCTATATGTACTCCTAAGGTCTACTTAAGCATCTTTCAATTATTATTCACCTGTATGTATCACCATCTAAGAAAGTCTTACAGTTTTAATTTCAATCAGTGCCCATCATCTCTGGTGCTCATCTCTTGTCTCCGGAGTCACCTTCTTGGGGTATTTGACACCTGCCTTTCAGCCCACTCTGCACATTTTATTCACTAATATGAGAACCATAAACAATTTGGGGGACTCACCACTGAATCGGGGACACAAGCACAGAGCAAAAGTTCAATGTTACTAAGGATTACAGGGAAAAAATGAGTCTCGTCCATGTCCTTGCTCCCCAACTCCCTCCCCAAAGTCACCCCAATGCCCACTTCTCTATTCTTCCAGAGAGATTTGTGCCATTTCCAAGCTTAAATGCATCCTTAAAAAAAAAAAAGGACTATGCATACTGTTTTGCACTTTGCCTTTTCACCAAACAACCTAATTTACAGATGATTCCAACCGGTGGATCCATAACTGCTACATTATTTTAACAGCTGTGTAATTTCCCACTGGGGGGCGGGATCGTAGCTCTCTGGGCCAGCCCCGCTCTGTGGACATTTTTCGGTTGTGGCACAGGGAGGGATGTGAGCCGGTCCTCTGACAACTTGCCCTTGGCGGACGGACGAGGTGAGAGCCCTCAGAGTCAGTCTCAGGCCCCAGGCACTGCTTCCCAAAAGCTCACAGGTAATTTTGGGAGCTCTGGATTCCTGGGAGCTTGGTCTCTGTTCTTGGTAAATGAGGTGTGAAGAGATGACTGGCTTCTTAGCAGCCAGAGCTCTCCAGATGGCTGCCTCTCCCACCTCCAGCCTTCAAGGCTTTATTAGCTGCTCAGGCCTGGAGGCAGAACAGGGCTATAGGCACTGAGTAAGCACTGACTGTATGCGAAGGCTGCAAGTGCAACAATGTCATTCTCGTGGTCCAGGTGAGGAAAGAGGCTCAGAAAGGCTTAGCAACCTGCCTTGTGCCCAGGTCACACAGCCAGTTTGCTGCAGAGACTGGAGCTATAGGCTCTGGCTGGCCAGCAACAAAACTGTGGGTTGCAGAGAAGGGACCACACTGGAATCTGTAGTCCTTAAGCACTGATCTCTTTCAGTAATGCCTGGGATCTGGGAGCGCTTGATGTAGTGAGCCCTTGTGCCTGAGTTTGTCAAAGCACCTGGCGCCAAGCATGTGCGCTGTGACTGAGAGATTGGGATACTGACTACGGAGGAGTCAGAGGGACAGTGGGGGTGGGAGCGGGGCGTCCAGGTGTAACCAGCTGCCTGGCCTCCCACAGTCCGCCTCCACGACAGCATCTCCGAGGAGGGACATCATTACCTGATCTTCGACCTGTGAGTCCGGCCCCGCCCTGGGATGTGCCAAGGGTGCGGGGGTGTCTGGGAGGGAAGATCTCACTGGGCCCCCGGCTTCTGGGTCCCAAATGTCTCCAGGCTGGGCTGTGCTCCTGCATCTGGTCCAGAGTTCCCTGAAGACGTATGACATGCGCAGGCCACCCAAGCTGAACAAGCTGCTCTTCCTGCTAACACGCCACACCCTTCTGACCGGCCTCATAGATGCCCTTCTTTACTGTTTGTGGCCAGTGGTGCTGATTCGCCACTCATACAGGGGGATGAAGTTTCCTTTTGGAACCTGTTTAATTTGTTTGCAGGAATGAGTGCTGGGGGAACCACCAACCACCTAGGTGGAACCACCTAGGCAGATAGCGGGACTGGTGACAGTGACAACACTGGTCTCATCTGGGGTGTTGAAAATGAGGAGCATGCGTGTCGGGACAGCAGAGTATTAAAAAAACCTCTGCTCCTTCCGCTTGATTTTTCTGTGAACCCAAAGCTACTCTAAAGAAAGGGAGAGAGAGAGAGAGAGAGAGAGAGAGAGAGAGAGAGAGAGAGAG